GTGACTGACCAGTAGAAGGAAAATGAAGCCTTGTGTGTGGAGCGGCACACCTGAGGGAGACCCCGCAAGGGGGAAACACTGCTCCTTTTCTTTCTGCTTTTCAGCACGGAATCATCCTCACCTTAGAACAGCCGTTCTGCCGAGAGCCCTTTGTGCTGGAACTGTGCCCGTTCCCCGTCGCTGTGAAAACTGCACATCCTTGCTACCCACTCGTGTACAGAGCAGGAGCACAGACAGGGGTGCTGCTCAGTTACAGATAGGCCGGGGAGAACAGCGTTGTTGCTGCCTGTGTCCTGGGGGCTCGTCTGCGCGCCGGTCGGGGTCTGGGCTGGAGGAACACGTGGGGGGGTAGCGTGTTCTCCCGGGAGGGTCTGGGCGAGGCCCCGCGTGCTGCACCGCTCAGAGCGGCCTTCCTTTTGAGAGCTGGTTTCTTTTTTCCCTGCTTTAACCCTCGACGTACGGTACCCCTCGGCCGCAGCGAGGTATCTCATGCCCCCCCATCCCGCTCTGTGTCCTCAGCTACACCAAGCCGAAGGGTCAGCTGCCGGACTACACTGCTCCTGTCGTGCTGCCGGACGACCGGACCTCTGTGGAGGACTTCTGCCTGAAAATCCACAAGAACCTCATCAAGGAATTCAAATAGTGAGTCCTCCCGGTCCGGGTTCGAAGCCGGGGAAGGTCGAAGGCCCCTCGGCCCGTCCGGCTAGTCGTTAACCGATCCCAGGGTCCCATCCGTCCGTTTTCTGGGAAGAAGCCGGAGTATATCGGCTTCAGCAACGTGGCTGCTCTGTCTGCGCGACGTTCCCGGTGAGGGACCGGCCCGGCGTGTTCCAGATGGGGGAAGACAGGGGGCTGGTCACGAGGCCAGAGGATATGGACTCCAGAGCTGCAGGGATCCTGTGCTCTTGGGGGTCCGCTTAGAGCCCGGACACGGGATGAGTCAGTCATCTGCCCTCTGTTTTCCCAATCTTGAACCCTGGTGGACCTGCGGGTGTCCAGATGTC